CATGAGCTGGGTACTAAGTTTACCAACCTCAGAAGTATGGAAAGCTGAGTTAACCTTGAGCCTGCTACCTGAGCCTGTTAGGATTGCCCTCAGGTCATGAGCAGAGTCATGACTGCAGTACTGCAATTTAATTACTGCAGTACGAGCTTATATGTTCTGGAGAGAAATTCTCCCTCAGGGACTGAGGTACTCTCTCTAGAGTAGACAGCAGTCGCAACAATCGCTGTCTGAATGTTTCCACTGTTTGTAAGAGGTGTATCTACCACAGGAAGCTGCACAAATCTCCCCATCAACGTGAGGTCAAACAAGACCTGATGTATCTGCCTTGGTATTTCTATGGTTCTGTACTCAATTACTATTTGTGGCCTGACTGGCATTTCTCTCCACCCACATATGAATATCTTGGGTACTATAGAGAGAAACCTCCCAGCTCTGTACACAGAATGCTAATTTGTTCCCCAATACCATCATTCTGGTATCCAACACTGGGATCTCTGATGCACACTGGTGGTGACTCCATACTGAAATCCATGGAGCATGGGCAACCACAGAACTGGTGCTGGCTAAATGGAATAGACCAATTAGGCTGTCCACCTGCTACCCAAGTATGGCTCTGATTGCTCCGTATCAAGATCACCTTCAGCATGGTGACCTTGTAAAAGTCCTAAAGGAGTGGCAACTTGAGATGTTTTGCTCTCAGAAAACCAGTCACAGGATGTGAGGTCGAGTATTGACGCTGAGACATAGAGAGTGCTCTGTCTTCCATACTCCTTCTGTCTCCTTGAACCAGTCAGTTATGCAAAAGCAGCACCATTGTAGCTACTCACAATCCTATTTAAAATAAAAATCAGCTAAAGATGCACAAAGACATCATCCCACGCATTGATTTTGTACCCAGCTTTCGGCTTTGACATTGATTCTGGCATCCAAAAGGTCCAGACATATCTCGCAGTCTTAGGGCTGATCTTCAGAATTGGAGCCTGATTTTACCCAGGAGCCTGGATACAAGCTTGATTGGAAATTCAAGGGGTGACTTCATATTTCCCCCCACTAAAAGACCCTCAGCCATGTCCAAAATAAAATAAAAAACAAGGACTATATTTTGTGGGCTTTTTCCTGTTTAATTGGTTATGATGGATAGAGTGCGGCTTGAGGATGGGGCTGGAATGTTTGGGTTGTCTTTACCCACTAGAGAATGCCTGGGACTCAGACAATTGGTTTAAAAATGCCTGCCTGTCAGTCAGAGTGGGAGGGACAAACTAAACTAAAAATGTCCTCCTAGTGTAGAGAATGAAAATATTATAAGTGCCAACATACTTTTTTTTCTGCAAAAGTCAGGTGATACCTGCTCATATGTGTGTTTTCAACTGGCTTGTCCAGACCAAGGCATTGGCATTCCTGTGTACTTTGAAGTGTGAGATACAGAAATCAGCATACTATCTCTGCCATTTACTTCAAGAAAATGAAGATACAAACATTCAAATAAAAGCTCTCAGGCCATCTGTCCAATTGTATAATCAAAAGTACTTCAGAAAGAAAGAAAAACTTAAACTAAAGGTTGTTGTTGTTTAATCATTAAGTCGTGTCCGACTCTTCGTGATCCCATGGACCAGAGCACACCAGACCCCCCCGTCTTCCACTGCCTCCTGGAGTTTGGTCAAATTCATGTTGGTAGCTTCGGTGACATCATCCAACTGTCTCGTCCTCTTGTTGTCCCCTTCTCCTCTTGCCTTCACAGTTTCCCAACATCAGGGTTTTTTCCAGGGAGTCTTCTCTTCTCATGAGATGCCCAAAGTATTGGAGCCTCAGCTTCAGCATCTGTCCTTCCAGTTAGCACTCAGCGTTGATTTCTTTCAAAACGGGTAGATTTGTTCTCTTTACAGTCCAGGGGACTCTCAAGAGTCTCCTCCAGCACCGCAACTGAAATGCATCCATTCTTTGGCGGTCAGCCTACTTTATAGTCCACCTCTCACTTCCATTCATCGCTACTGGAAAAACCATAGCTTTGACTATGCAGACCTTTGTTGTCAAGGTGATGTCTCTGCTTTTAAAGATGTGTCGAGGTTTGTCATTGCTTTCCTCCCAAGTCTATGAGGGCTACTCCATTTCTTCTACGGGATTGTTGCCCACAATAGTAGATATGATAATCGTCTGAATTGAATAATACTCTTTTAGAAAAGATATAATACAGGAATATTTTCCTTTGGAATGAAACTGAGCAATTGCTTTATGATATTTTTAATAAAAGACTTGTAGGGATTAGATTTAATTGCTTTGGGAACTATTTGTTTGTACTACTTTAGAAGAGGTAGAAGTGAAAATGAATCAGAAATAGAGTGATTTATTCTTTCATATAACACTTCAAAATTAGAGCATTGTTTTGATGATGATGATGATGATGATGATGATGATGATGATGATGATGATGATGATGATGATGATGATGTCTTTATTGCTAGAGATGTGGAGAAATGCTTGAGTGATTGGATGTTTTTCTTTCTTACTCTTTCTTGCAGGATCTTAATTGATAAGGTTTAGGTGTGGATAAAAATACTCAACACTTGGAATCAAGTCGATTCCAACTTATGGAGACCCTTTACAGGGTTTTCTAGGTGAAGAATACACAGAAATGGTTTACCATTCCCCTTCTTCTGAAGCTGTCCTGGGACTGTGCAGTTGCCGATGGCTACACAGGCTAGCTCTTCTCCCAGGAGACATAGTGGAGAATTGAAATCCCAAGCTCTGGTTCTGCAGCCAGATACCTAAACCACTGAGTTATTCATATTATTTTATTTGGCTTTAATTCTTGTGCTTTGGCATAACATTATACTGTACCTTTACTCACACATAGAATTTTTTCCTATGATTTCTCTTAAAACAGCTGCTGATACTAAACTTCATATGTGTGGACCATTGTGATAGTGCAAGTTTGCAATCCATTTCATTAAGATTTTTGTTTCTCTGTCTTTCCCCTTTCTCATTCAAGCTCTGATGGCCAGCGTGGAGGATCTGATAATTAAGACAATACTTTCTGCTGAATTGGCAATAGCATCTGCCTGTAAAGCCTTTGTCCCACACCGTGGTGTTTGCTTTGGTAAGGAACTGAAGGCACCTTAATTATTATAGTTTATGTTAATATGTGATACATTTCTAACTGCTGTTCTAGGGGCGATTGAACAGGTGGATGAATTGCACTTTATATTGTGGCATTAATGGACTTTCTACAGGCCATCTGAGGCTATATACAGCTGTACTTTGATGTTACAATGTAGTCACAACATAAGTGTCCATTCACTCCTATATGGACTGTTAGAGAACAACTGTTACCAATAAGCAGTGTTGTTTTTCTTAGTAATGTAATATTGGCATGAGGCCATCAACTAAATAAACAGCTGAGGCTTAAAATGAAAGAGAAGTTATTTGTTCAATTCACAGATGACCTTGTGGGTTCATTTTGCTAGCAAAATTATAACAAAGAAGCACTCAGCTAATTAATGGAATAACTGGCAACTGCTGTTAATAGGGATGAGGCAATTTATATTGGGTAGTGAAACTCCAGCTTTTTTCTTTTTTAAAAACAGTTTGAGCTCACAGCTGAGAGAAATACTCGGAACTGTGCGGAGAAATAAACACTAGAAGAGCATAGGGTCATCAGAAATACAAGGAATTGAGACTGGGTTTTGTTTGTTTTGGAAACTCCCTGTACCTTGGGCTGCTTTCTTGTGACATCTACTGTAGTCTCTTTTCTTCTTTCACTTTCAAATTGTGTTTGTCAAATCTGGACAGTTCTAGTAATCACCAGTTAGATAGCCTTGACAACAATGATGACTGTCATGTTTTCTCCCAATTCTGGAGCTGAACAAAGTCCATGATTGTTCTCCGCTTCCTTATCCAAAGTTAGGAGCTTTAGTTTTTAAAAGAATTCATCAATTTCCTTTCTACATACTTTATACTTGTCTCTACCATTATCTCCAGCCTTTTGTCATCCTTTTTTTTTTAAATTAAGAACTTTCACCAGAGTTCTTTCCTTTATCAGGATGACATATCCCTCTAGTCTTGGATCCCCACTTCTGTACAGTATTTTCTCCAACCCCACAGTAGTCTATATAAAAAATGAAATTCCGTGCACTATTTTAAATATAGTACAGTGGGGTCTTGACTTAAGAACGGCTTGAGTTAAGAACATTTTGACTTAAGAACCGCTCTCCTAGGAAAATATTGACTTGACTTAAGTACTTAGATTTGAGTTAAGAACTGAAAAAAAACCACGTGGGAGGCAGGGAAAGTGCAAAATGCGAACTTTCAGTTAACTGTTGGCTAGTGAAAAGGGTGCCTGTCTGCTTCCTCACTCCTCCCAGCGTTTAGAGAGTGGATTGGGAGTCTTCAGACTGCCTGGTACTGCCTGGACTGTATTTTCCCTGCCTTCCCTGAACCGTTCTTGACCTAAGAAAAAAAGAAACAAAATATCGCCCTCTAGTGGTCGAAGGCGGAATAGCAGCTTCCCATTAGTTTCTATGGACGGAAAAGAGCAGATACGGATCAAATGGTTCTCAATGCATTCCTATGGAAAATGCAGATTTGACCTGAGAACTTTTTGACTTGAGAACCGCCTTCCAATAGGGATTAAGTTCTCAAGTCAAGACCCCACTGTATATGATAGAATTATATAATGGTATTTTGAGACATGATGTTTTCTTCCCAACATCCTTTTTAATTCCCAGTGCTAAATTTGTTTCTTTGGTGGCTGGGTGTACTGAAAAGTGATTTTAATGGATTTGGGTACGATACTGAGTGGCAATATCTAATGTAAACCATATTAACACACAGTGTTGTGTCAAACCCAGTACAGTACTCTCTCTCTCTCTCTCTCTCTCTGTATGTATTTGTAACACATATACAAACACATTTTCTTTACTGTTCACTTAGGATGATCTGCCATATTCTTGCTAGGTTAGAAAAATTCTTTTGGAGCTCTTCACAATGTGTGAAACACTGAACATCTGGCTGAAATTCTGGTCTAAGAATAAATTGACACTGTGCCTAAAATCTTCAGGGTACATTTTACAGTCAAGATTTCCCTGAACTTTAATAGAAGGAATAGAAGTGGATGACTCAGATGGGATATCTGGAGTCCTACATCAAGAATCTGACCTTGTTACTGTCAGGCTGTGATGATGCCGAATTTGAGAATCCACAAATGGAAGTACTCTCAGAATTTGTCATACATAATCATTTAGATGGCTAAGTAAAACCCAGAGACTCTTTATAGCTCACAGAAGTCCAGGTATATTTTTTAAAGGTGCTGGAAAAGATGATTTGTACAGAGTCTGTAAGTTCAGCATTCTGAGGGAAAGGGTGTTCTGCTGGCTTGGGTATTTTTTTTTCTGTGGTTGTGTTTTGAAGGGTTGTACCTACCACATGGCGGCAGTAGAGCTTACATCTGGTAGGGTTTTTATACTGAGCTATGTGCTGGCAAAGAAAGGAGAGCTCACTGGCAAAGAAGTTGGGAATGGCTCCAAAAAGTAGCGGCTGGTACCACTGTGTGCCTTCTCCCACTTTCCAGTACCTGCTGCTCAGCCTTCCCTTTGGCAACCACCTCCTGCTTCTTGCAACTCGTTGTGCAAACACAGGATAGAAGCCACAGTGCTGGAAATTGCAGAGTCCAGAAGCATTATATTCCAGTGCCCTTGATCTTCTCAAGGGTTAGTATTTATGAAGCCTTCCCATTCTTGTTAGAAAGACAATGAATAATGTCTTAGCTTCATATAGACATCCCACAGATGTGGAACTTGGTAATGCTATGGTTTATTACATTATTTATACTAAAATACATACTTGAGTTAGGAATTTGGGTAAATGCATGGTGCTGAAAAGCAGAATTGCATAAAAAATTGTGGTGATAAGGAAAACAAATTATAATCCTCCCTGCATTTTTAGGACCCTCCTTCAACATAAACCATGGCACCCATCCTTCCGAAGCTTTGCAGGTTTGTTACTTGGGGCCACCTCTATGCTGTCTGTCATTTTCAAAACAAAGGTCTGTTAACAGCTGTGGGGGGGGGAAATCATTGAGTCATTTTTGGATATTCTTCAAAGGTGAAACCTGCTGTTGTGCAAAACTCCCTGCGTGTATTCATCTGAAACTTGGCAGCCTTCATTAACTTAGAAGAAGCAACTTTAACTGAGTTTTCCCCCCCAGGTTCTGCCAAAAATAAAGAGGTTATTGGCAGTTTTTTCATAGATGAAACTTGAAAATTGCATAATACAGTCCTCCTGAACCTGTTTGGTTGCAGTTTAATGCCCTCCTAAGAAAGAGATATGCTTGCAACTTTCATCCAGCTTTAGGAAAATAACAGAAAAAAGTTAACTTTTTAAAATGTGAGTGAGGAGAACCCCAGTGGGAGACAGGAACCCTTGGATTGATCTTGCTACTGTAGTTGCAAATCACTCTAAGGCAACGTGGATCTTTTCTGAAATACCTAACAGGAGTATGAAATGAATTTTAGAGTTGGTGCACATCCCTAGTATATCTGGAGCGAATCAGATTTTCTATATATATGTTTTCGATTTGTATTATTCATTTTTATGTGTAATTCTCAAAAGAAGGGGTAAAGAGCTGCAGACAGAAGCTGACACCCAATCCCTGGTGACTGGAAGCTCTTCTTTTGATTCTTAGTATTGTAGCAAACATAGTCTTTGTACTTTTCTTTCTTTCTTTCTTTCTTTCTTTCTTTCTTTCTTTCTTTCTTTCTTTCTTTNAGACCATGTCAACTCTTAATATTCTTTTCATAGATAGCTAGAAATTTAATGGTTTTAGAAAAGCAAAGAATATTGATTACCCGCACTCAGTATCAGATTTCACACTGTTACGATGTTAGTCTGGAATACACACACAGGCGTATGAGATGCCTACTTGCTATCCAATGCCTACTACTATACCCAGTGTGGCATAGCGAATAGAGTGATGGACTAGGACTCAGGAGACCTGGATTTGAATCCCTGCTCAGCCACAAAGCTCACTGGGGGTATGCAACTGGTAAAGCCACTCCTTAAATTTCTCACTCACTTTGACGGTATGCAACTAGTAAAGCCACTCCTTAAATTTCTCACTCACTTTGAAAGCCCTATCAGTTCTGACTTGATGGCACATAACATAACAAACTTACTTCCTTGTTTTTCAATCTTTAAAATATAGAAAAATATCTATTTCTCCCTTTTTTCTGTGACCAAGAAGGGTAAAAATATTTTCCATTAAAAACAAGAACTTAAGGTCTTATTGAAAACTCTGTGATAATATATTTGCATATGAGCTGGGTATATGTAATTGTAACATTACTGTATTTCTTTTAGTTCTTCCCTGCTGTTGTACCATTTGTTACATCACCTGTCCTTGGCTTCCTCAACCAGTCCTTGTAATGGCACGAGTACACTTTATGTGGACAGTTTTTTTGATTCGGGTTTTTAATATGCTTGGTTTGGGGTTGTGTATTCTGTTTGCCAGGACCTAGAAGTTCTGTTCCATATGAATTTGGTAGCCTTGTTAATGGAAATGCGCATGATTTCAGTTTTTATTTGTGAGGAGAAATAAGAGAGCAAAAGAATTATAGTTTACATAAAACAATAACCGCCCAGAATAGACCCGTTCTAGATAGGTGGTATATAAATCTAATGAATAAATAAATAAATAAATAGAATAAATAAATAAATAGCATATTTGTCCAGCAGCTTATATTTGACTTGTATTTTTAATGTCATAGAATGTATAATAGGTAGTAGTCCTCAAAGACCCACAGTTGTCCTACCACAAATATTTGGTAAAGTTATGAACAAAGAAAAGAAAGTGAGGGATAACCTCCATTAGTATAACGCATTTTTAATCTTTGATGGGGGAAACATCTCTCTCTTGTAAATGCCAACTAGCCTGATATTGGAGATTAACTAACTTGCAGGCCATGGTGATTTAACTCTAGTCTCTCTTGAGACTTGCAGGTATTATGGCAAGGCATTAATTTGGCAGGTAGTCTGGAAAATGACACTGTTCAGTGTTCTGATGTGAAGACTGCATAACCTGTATACCAAGTCAAAAGGACTCTT